TATATATATATATGGGTTAGAATTTAGTGATATGATTGTGTCAAATTAGTGAAATAACATTATTAATAATTTTTTTATAGAATGTAAATTCAACTAATTCAACCGTTATATTTGATGATATTACTAATTAGATCAAGTATACAAAATTGCATATAATTCTAACATTATTTGGTAGTTTATTGTATCACTTTATTTTAACATATATATAAAATGATATCCAATATACATGTAAATGCCCATTATTTGATAACATATCTGGAAAGGTTCAAATCATTTGAAATTTGATATGCATGATCATGAATGTAATATCAATAAATACAATGGCTTGATCAGTTAAATTTGCATTCAGTAAAAAATTATTGAAGATGTTATTTCATTAATTTTAGCCATGATATGAACAGATCATGGTTATATATATAAATGAAGGATCAAATGATTCTAAGAGTAACTATTCGTAAAATTACTTTACTTAATAACTCATTGTGTATGTTAAATTTTAAATGGTCAAACTATTAAATTAAAAGTTTTTTAATATATATATATATATATATATATGTATATATATTAAGTTTACAAATTGTTTAAGAAAATTGAATACTATACGATATTTCATTTAATTAATTTAAATTGACAACTAATTATAAAAATATTTTATATGTTGATTTAATTATAAATAACAAAGTATTATATGGTTTTCAAATTTTTTAATAATTTGTAAACTTCACCTATACATTAAAAAATTTCAATTTAACGATTGAATTGTTAAAATTCAATATATACTATGAATTATTAATCAGTAAAATAACTTTATTCAGAGTTACTCTTAGGATAATTAGATCCACGTGCACACACAAATGTGTGTATATGAGTATATTGTACATAATGATATTACTACTTAGATCTTCAAATATACAAAATTACATATAATTTTAAATTTATTTGATGGTTCATTATGTCAGTTAGTTTTAATATACTAAATATTTAAAATATATATAAATATCTATTATTAGATAATATATGAAAGAGTTCAAATTATTTAAATTTTAACTTGCATGATTATGATTGCAATATCATCAAATAAAAATGTCTGATTAGTTAAATTTATATTTATAAAAAATTATTAAAAATATCATTTTACCAATTTGATATTATGATGTCAACAAATTCTATCCTTAATTAATATATTTATTATCCTTATTTTATTGACTATGAATGAGAAAGGGAAAAATAGAATTTTTGAAATTCTTTGAGACAAAGTTAAACTCTTAAAAGGCTATACATTTCACCTTCTATTTAATGAACATATAGAAGAAGAAAAAACGTAATATTGATCATTGTAAAAAAGCCCGAGCTAAACATACAATTTGATGATTATAAAAAAAAAAATAAAAAATTGAAGGATTATTTTTTTTTAATAATTTTTAGTCAATATTATATGTTAAAAAAATGTGCTAGATAATGTGTTTTTAACGCTCTTTTTCTTCTTATTATTGTACTTTTATAAACAACGAGAATTCTAATTATACAATTAGACTTTAATATTATATCTTTCTTATAGGGGAAGTGTTGATACATTGGATGGTGGCATGACAAAAATTGTTTTATATCCTGATTGGATCTGAGTATAATGTATTAAGTTATCTTCTATTAGATTGCCTAGACTTTTGTCATGCTTTGGTCTTCAAGTTGAAATTGTTTCCTGAACGAAATTTATAGCTTCTGTAGTCAGAAATTATAACTTACAGAAATAAGAGAATAATAATTGTAAATCAAAACAATCGGTAGATAGATATAGAATTGAACTTTTCTATTTGATCATGCAAATTCAATCTATTTTAATTGATGACTAAGAGTGAAACATATTCCTTGAGAAACCATTCACATAACCTATCATGCAAATTAGTAACAGTTTTTTCTTATATAAAACTATTCTACAAATTAATAATGACATAAACAATGAGAAATTATACATCATTTAGGTGAGGATAACAGAGTTCCATATATTACCAAGAGGGGCAATGACATGAGGCACAAGAGCCCCAATTCCTTTTAGGGCAGACCTGAGGCAAGCCTAATTGCAAGTTTTAACATACTCAGGCTTAGAATCAAACTTCTTGTCAAGAACAGTGAGTCTATTAATAGTTGCATCAATCTTTCCTAGAAGACTCTGTCAATAGCCAATAGCTTATCGTGTTTATCTTTACCAAAGGATACAGCTGTCCTTCTGAAAATTCTCAATGACCTTCATTGAGGCTTCTTGCAGGATACCCTGTGACTCATAATAGGATATAAACTCCTTTGCCGTTGGAAGTTTCATTTTTCTTTTCAACGGTTTTAATCCAGCCTCCGGTACAGGAGATTCCATTTCTACAAAGCTTCCCTTGTTTAGTCACACATTCTTTAACGTAGAAAACAATGTTTAGCCAAGAATTAATTTTTGTTGCAATAGTTGAAATTCTCATTTTTCATTTCTCAATTTCAATCATTAATTTCATTAAATAAATCGTCATTTATGACACTATTTAATTATTCATAAGCCGAAACTGAGATAAATGTGTAATGGATTTATGTACCAGTAGACAGGTAGCATAGTGTAGATTAAAAAAAATTACACCACGCTGTTTAAAACTGGTTATTCAAAGAAAATTTATTTATATATTATATATATATATTTGTTTTTGATGCAGTTACATAGAAGCTAATTTTCAAGAAGAGTCCTTTGTTTTTTTTTTTTTAAGTGACTTAAAAATTACAATATATTCAACTCAGTTGGCAGATAATCTATGTGTAGATCTAAGAAATCACAAGAAGTTTTTCTAATAAGAACTAAGAAGTTTCATTATATTGAACCCAGTTGTATAAGATTAGATAATTTACGGGAAGTTTCATTATATATTGTGTTGATTAAAAATCACGTGTAATAAAATATTGACTTAAATATGTTTTTAATCCCTCAAATTTAGGGTAAATCTGTTTTTGATCTCTCAAATTTAAAATTATTGTTTTTAATTCCTATAATTTAAAAAAATCTTATTTTAGTCTTTATATTTAAATTTTGTTAAAAAATTTATCAAACATTATTGCATAAAATGTACCTATTGGTGTCCTTATTAGTGAAAATATCATATTAAATCCAGTTGATATTGTATAACTATCTTAATTAGTTACTTTTAAAAATGTTATTGATAACTTAAGAAACTAAAATAATATTTTTGAAAATTACAGAATTAAAAATAACAACTTTAAATTTGAGGAACCAAAAATAAATTTATTTAAAATTTGACGGACTAAAAACATATTTAAACTTAAATATTTTATCTCTACGTGCAAAAATTTCACTGGGTAAGAAACAGACGACCCGATAAAGTGAAAACAACAAAGTAACCATGGGCCACCTGGTTCAGCCGCTACTATGCTACCACCACAGCTGTTGTACCATAAAATATTCCCTATAATCAAGGAAAGAAGAAAAATACAAAACAACAATGAAAACTTTGTTCGTAGGCATGACATATCAACAACGATACACACAAAGGAAAAACAATAGCCAGAGAAATTAAAAGAATAGAGTAGTATTGAATAAGAAGGTTTGGTGCAAAGCCAAATGAGTGCGATGGAACCATTTGTTGCATTTTGAAAGAGTCAATGTTTCATACCCTCTTTTCCAAAACCTTGCCCTAGAAGATACACATATCAAGAAATTAAATATAAGCCTTCATTATTAACCTTGTCACCATTTACTTTGCTTTTCATTTTTCACACTTTGTCTCTCTATTGCTAGCTATGACCCCTTACACTTCCTTCAGCCCTCAACAAGATGAGGTTCAATTTTCTGAAGACAAACACTTTGCCCTACATGGAAAGATCTTGCTCTTTGTTTTTCTCGCCGTCTTCTTCCTCCTCTTCATGTTTGTCCTCCTAGTGCCGTGGTTGAGGAAACGCTCTCGGCGTTCTCGCGGTTCAGGAACAGATGACGATTTCACCGAAGAACACAATAACACCCCTTCACACAACTGGTTCATAAGAAGAAGAAAAGATGTCACACTTTGCCAACATGATCACCATGCAACTGTGCAAAATTAATTCTCCTCTGGAGGTACCAAGATAAGTGCTTCAATATTTAATTCCGTGTGAATATATGGTATAGTTTTTGATGAGTACAGATTTTTGCAGAACTTTGTTGTTGGTAATTATTTTTTGTGGTGATGACTTTTCTGTCTTCTATGTCAGTGTCATACTAAACCTTTTATGGCTTATGGTATACACACATGTAACTTAGTTGAATCATATCAACATACTTTTTTGTGTATTTACTTTTTAGTCCTTATAATAAAGGAAAAACCTGCATAGTATCTGGGTCGTTAACTCCGTTAATCAGTTATATATCTGTTCTGTTATACTTATTCGTAGTTTCTTTTTTCTTCATATTTTGTTCCTTCATGACTACTGAACCTGTCAATTTTATAGATATATATACGTGATTTTTTTGTTGTTTGTTCTGGAGTGTCGAGACTTGAGAGGATGGGTTGATTTTTGAGAGGATGGGTTGATTTTTTCTTTTGTTGGATGGAAATGACTGTTGCAATTGGATGCACGTACCCTAGTTTATTACATTTTTTTACGTTTTTCAAGCTAAAAATAAAGTAAAATCAGCAATGACATTTGAAGGAGAAAAAAAAAATATTATTCTTGTTATATATATATTAATTTTGGTTTAGATAACAAAATAAAGATGTATATATATACATTTAACATTGTTCTTTTAATCAAATTTTTAAATAAGTGAAGAGCAAAAAGTAGTGTAAGAATTTTGATGGTAACTACTCATTCTCATTGTTTATATAAAAAACAAATAGGTATATTTTTTTTCCTCTTAATTATAAGAAATAAATACATTTTTTTTATTATATATATTTGTATGTTAATAGAAAGATTACCAATATCATAATATCCATACTTGCATATACCCATACTCATTAATATTTAATTTATTTGGAATTGAATTTAATTTTATTTAAATTTGTATGAATTTGATTTTATTTAGATTTATAACAGTTATGTATTGTACTTTATTATCTTTAATCTTTATTTATGTGTAATCAAAATATTTTATTTTAATAATTATTTTTTAAACTTTAAATTTATATGATTGAATGCTTAAAATTTAGTTTTAAATCCACTTATTATTGTTAGTATAATTGTGTAAAATATTTAAATTTTAATTTTATAATCTTTAAACTTTTTCTGTGAAAATTTTATTTAAATTTTAGTTATAATCTTCAAGTTTTTTATATAAATTTTTATAACTTTTAAAAGAAAAAATTGTTATAAATAACTAAAATGTATAATTTAAATATTTTATTAAACATTTTTAAGATATTTTTTTAGCAAATACTTGCATGTACTCATGGATATCGCTTATAAAATATTTTTTATACGGATATGAAGACGAGTATGAGACAGATATTTATCTAACAGAGAGGGTAGTGGGAAGTTACTACCCATACTTAACCCATTCTATTGACATCCCTATGCACAATAATATTTTTAAGCATTTTTTTTAATGAGAGGGTATTTAAATATTCTTTTAATTTTTTTTTATTATATTTATTTATAAATTAAATTTTAATATTTTAAAAATAAATTATTAATATTTAAAAAATAATTATTATTTATCATAAAATATATATAATTTATATATTTAAAAAAAATTATTTATATAAATATTAAATATAATTTAAATATTTAAATATAATACTTACTTGTATATATAATTTCTTATAAACTTTAGTTATATATATTAAATACTAAACTGTTCACATACTAAATTTAGTTATATATAAAAAAATATTTAGTGTGTGTAATAAACATGTTAAAATACTAGTAAATAAAGAAATAATGAGTATAATTAATTGATTTTCACAATGTAAACTTTTTTATAACACTTTAAGTTTTACATTTATTATGATTTATTGAATGTTTTTTTTATGTAATGATAGGAGTGCATACCATCATTATAGAACAAAGCCTTTTATACTAAAACATAAAATAAATAATATACAAGATAACCTAGTGCTTTTATACTAAAACGAATGAAATTCCCCTAATCTAATGCTTATGGTGTGTTTGGATGAAGAATTTTACAAATTTAAGGAATTTTAAATTCTTGGTATTTGAATTACTTTGATTTCAATTTCCATCATTCTTAAAATATTTTATTTGGATAAGTCAATTTAAATTTCTCAAATTTTAAATTTATAGGTTAAATATGATAATTTGATTCTACCATGATAAATTTGATTTTAAAATATATTTATATGTTGAGATTCTTAAATTAAATTTTATAAAATTAAATATTAAATATAAGTGAAATATGAAGAAAAAAAATATGAGGAATTTCAAATTCTTACTTTTTTGGAAGAATTTGAAATTCTACTATTTCAAAAAATTTCACAAATGCTTGAATTTCAAATTCTTTATAAATTCTCCATCCAAACAAGGTATTTCACCTCAAAGAATTTGAAATTCTTCAAATAAATGAATTACTCCATTTATAAAGACTGAAAAATATAAAATAAGGAATATAGGATAGTATTTTTTTTAGAAATAAGTTAAAATAATAATTACATTATATTTTTTCTCTATTTTTAATAAAATTAAAAATTACGAATTGAGAAAAATGTTTATTATAAAATTGGCTAATTTTATTGAAAAATAGAGAAAAATAAAATTATAATGCAATTACTATTTTAACTTATTTATATTTTTTATATTGCATTCTTTATTTTATACGTTTTAATGTAAAAGCATTAATTTAGTTCTTATTTATTTTAATTTTTCATTCTTAACCAATACTATATTTTAGTAAATATAAATTATCTAAAACTTTTCATTTTCAAAATTTATTTTCTCGTAATTAATTTCAAAAATCGGCAAAAACAATATCAATGTGAGAAGGGGATTAATTATTAACAAATCATCATAATATATTTAACTATGTATATTGAACATATAAATAATAAAAAAAATAAAAATTCCTGAAAAAATATCATTAATTATGATTGTAACACAATCAATTTGGTTACATTCTTATACTCATTTTTATTTTTCTAAATAAGTTAAAATAATGGCAACTAAAATTTTGTTGAGTTTTACTGAATTATAAAAAAAAATATATTTTATTTTTGTAGAAATCATAAATAGAGAAAATAAATATACACTTTATTATAAAATTGTAAAAATATCAATTTGTTGCCAATTTCCATATATAGTTAAGGCTGAAAATTAAATCAATAAAAAAAATATTAAATTAAATGATTTAATTCATTAATAAAATTTAATAATTGATTGCCACTAAATATGTTAAAGTGACTATATCTATTAAGTTATTATAAATTGCAGAATTAACATGTATATAAATATTTCAAATATTTAAAAGAAGAACTTGGTCCTTCAAATAGTTATATGCTGACTTGAATAAAATTATCATTTTATTTTTCGTGAAAGATAATTATATATGTTATTTTTAAAAAATCTATTAATACTTTAGATTTGATTAAGTTTAAAGTTACAAACATAGTATAAATTAATATTATTAAACTATAAACTTATTCAAATGTCGACAAGTTTATTTTTTCCAAGTAACTGTTATATCTTTTAT